CCTGGACGGCAACGTCAGCGTCGAAGGCAGCACCGACGTCCCTGTCGACGCCAGCCCCGACGCCAGCACTGACGACAGCTCTGACACCAGTGACAGCGCCGGCCCCGAGTGCAGCCGAGGCGTCAGCACCAATGACAGCAGCTCCGACGCCAGCATCGGCAGTGTCAGCATCCACGCCTGCCCCCTGGACGGAAACGTCAGAGCTGAAGACTGCGGCACAGTCTGCATCGACGACAACATCGACGACAGCATCGGTACAGTCTGCTCAAGGCTGGCTCAAGGCCTGGTGGGGCGGGCAGGCCACTCAGTCCGAGTGGGGCTGTACCCGCTTAAATTCCCGATCGCACCTGTACCCCCTTAAATTCCCGATCCCTCCACAGTCATCGACGACAGCACGGACGGCAGCTGTGACGGCCGCATCGGCAGTGCCAGTTTTCGGGCGGCCGCCCACGGCGGCAGCCATGTCAGACTCGCCGGCGGCATCATCGTCTACGTTAACATGCGCACCACTGAACGTATCAGAGCAAATAGGTGGGACAAAATGCGTTGTACTTTTCAAGAGCGTGTCAAGGCAGTGCTGTGCTCAGTACCCCATGGGCACCCACAGCGACACCCCGTGGGGTAACAACTACATACCAGCGAAAACAGCCTCATAAGTAACACCTACGCCCGCGACTACGGCGCCACCAACTCCAGACCCGCACGCAGCTCCGACACCAGCGACAGCGCCGGCCCCGAGTGCAGCCGAGACGTCAGCACCAATGACAGCAGCCCCGACGCCAGCATCGGCAGTGTCAGCATCCACGCCTGCCCCCTGGACGGCGACGTCAGAGCCGAAGGCAGCACCGACGTCCCTGTCGACGCCCGCACCGACGCCAGCACTGACGACAGCTCTGACACCAGCACCTCCAGCGCCAGCGGTTGCCCCCACCACGCCGGCACCAAAGCCAGAGTCACAGGCAGCAGCGACGTCAGACCCGACACCCACCCCGACGTCAACAGTGAGGCCAGCACCGACGACAGCTCCGACGCCAGCACCGCCAGCGTCACCACCCACGCCCGCGCCTACGCCGGTACCCACGCCAGAGTTGCAGCCAGCATCTACGCCAACTCCGCCGTCTGCATCGACGCTCGCATCCATGGCAGCATCGTCCATAGCTTCGACACCAGCACTGCCAGCGGCAGCACCCACGCCCACGCCTACGCGGGCACCAACGTTGACACCAGCACCAACGCCGGCACCGAGCGCAGCCGAGACGTCATCGCCGACGACAACTCTCACGCCAACCCTGCCAGATTCAGCACGCCCTGAGTCGTCCGCGGCGGCACCAAAGGTGGCACCCACGTCAGCCTACACGGCAGCGTTCGTGGAGCGTGTGTGGTTGGAGGTCATCGAGTGGTACAACGTGTTGTCACCGTCCACGTGGGCCACCCTGTGCGCCACGTACGTCATGCACTCCTTCTTCACCGGCTTCCGCGACGAGTGGCGGCGACGGAGCGCAGCTACAGCGCGGCGGCGACGCCGACAGCGCGGGGGCGACGTCGACCGCAGACGCCCTCTAGGCCACCAGACGGCCGCCCAGGGCCGCCCTGGCATCAGCCCCCACACTGCCTCGAGCCTCGAGCCGACCTCCCTTCCAAAACCTGGTAGCACGCCAGCGGGGGCGGCTTCAGCCCCCCCGCATGGCACCACGCCTGCCATTCCTGTCATCGGCCCCCACACTGCCTCAAGCCTCGAGTCGACCCCCCCGCCAAAACCTGGTAGCACGCCAGCGGGGGCGGCTTCAGCCCCCCCGCATGGCACCACGCCTGCCATTCCTGTCATCGGTCCCCACGCTGCCTCGAGCCCTGGGGTGACCTCCCCGCCACAACCTGGTAGCACGGCAGCGGGGCCAGCCTCGGCCGTCTCGCATGCTCACACGCCTGCCCTGGGTCCTGGCTCCCTCGCAACCTCGCGTGTTAGCACCAGCACTGCCAGCACTAGCACTGTGACTGTACGGGAGCACTTCGAGCGCTTCCTCGGACCGCAACCAGCCACCATCGGTCACCTCCGAGCCGTAAACTGCCGTTTGGCCGCTTGGATCCCACCACGGCTCCACGCGGGCACAGCGGTCATCGTCCAGGGCCAAGTCCACAACCCTATCAACGGCCTCCGAGGTATCGTACGGGGGCAGTCCAGCGAGCACCCCGGCCACTGGACCGTCACGCTGTCGTCTGGGGACACCGCCCACCTGAGCTGCTCCAGTCTGACCGTCTCTGCACCTGCGCTCCGCGCCGAGATGCCGTCCCCCAGTACGGGCGCTCAGACCAAGGCCCAAACTCAGGGACCCCAGCCCGGCCCAGCAGTGGACCCACGCCACCGTACCTCAGCAGCACAGCGCCCTGACGTCACGGCAGCAGTACCCTGCAGGCCACCTGCGCTGACCGTCCCACCAGGCAGCCGCGCCCAGACTGAACGCACAGCTGACTGTGAAGTCGGACTCCGAGACTCACGCGACGACGGCGCCGACGACCACTACCTCCACCACGACCTCGGGGTGCCAGCGCCCGTGGGCTTCTGGGACCCGATCGGGTACACAGCCGACGGCCCCAGCTACGGCCCCCCTACGGCCGGCCCCTCTGCGGCGAAGCCCGTGAGCAGCAGCGTCGCCGCTGGGAGGCAGGACGCCGACCCTAGCGGCCGCAATTTCCAGGGTGCGGACACGCTGCGAGAGGTCGCGGAGATGCTGTCGCACCTGAAGGAGCAGGACCTGCTCCAACGACTGGAGGCTGAGGAGCGCTCCGACAGGAGGAGGCTGAGGAGGCTGAGGGCCAAACGCAAGGCCGCAGCAGCCGCCGAGGGGGGCGGCGGGGACGCCGCGCAGGCCCAGGAGGAGCCACCCTACCAGGATGCTCCGGCTCCTGCGCTCCGCCGGGCCAAGCGGATCCTCTTGTCATGGGTGTTGGCCGCGTACCTGCCGCCTCTTGTGGCGGTCCCCGACCGCCGCCCCGCTAGGCACACCCACTGGTTCCGCGAAGCTGGTCCACAGTACGACGGACCGAGAAAGGCCGACGCGCAGCCGACTGCCCACCGATGCATCGAGCTCCGCCTATGGAGTCTGAGAGCTCCTGGCCCCCGCCCGACTCTGGCCCGCAGTTCGGACATGCTTCTAACCTGCGTGGACGCGGCCCTCGGCCTCCCGCACGGCCGCACAGCAGGCCTCATCCACCGCGCCACTCTCAAGCGTCTGCGCACTGATACTGTTTTCCTTCTTCAGTTTCTTACGTGGTCCGACGCTTTTGAAGAACGCTGGGGCTTCTCATTCACTTTGCCCTCATCCTGACCAGCGTGGTACGGCCTCGCCCTCGCCGCATGTGCGCGTCCTGCCTTGCTCACCCGGGCGCTGTTCCCTGGTGTGCCGTGCCTGCTGGCGGGGGTGGCGGCTCCAGCCCCGCCCCACGCACCCGTGTGTAATTGACATCACACCTCACGAATGTGTGCCGCCGGAGAAAACGACCCATTTCAGCCAAAAGGGGTCGTTTTTCGCAGGGTCCCGCGGCATTGCATTTTCGTGTCGACTTGTATCACATTAGTGTATTCCGCCACAGCTCCTGGCGAAGTGATTGGGAGCAGCAGCATTCAGTGATGCGATCGGGAATTTAAGGGGGTACAGGTCTTTCCCTTAAGGGCAGCGGGTGCATCCGCTGTGAGGGCCTCCTCTGCACCCTTGCACTGTCCCCGCCTGTGCGCATGCTGGGCCATTCGGCTCCCAGCATGTGCACCTTTTCCTCAGCGCGTCTGGCGCCCCTCTGCCGTCCGCCGCCTGGCCGCGGACTCTGTCTCTCTCGAGGTCCGCCAATGGGGGCTAAAGGTTAGCTGGCAGCGGCTGGTGCCGCTGTGCTGTCGGCTAGCTTTTGCCGCTCCTGTTGGGGTTCTCGGCCTGTGCGCACTGTGCTGGGCCGTACGGCTCCCAGCTGGTGCACCTTTTCCTCGGCGCGTCTGGCGCCCCTCTGCCGTCCGCCGCCTCGCCGCGGACTCTGTCACTGCGCACTGTGCTGGGCCATGCGGCCCCCAGCTGGTGCACCTTTTCTCTTTTCGCCAGCCCGTGCGCCCGCGAGGCACCGCGTCCACGGGGCCTGGGCGCGGGGGCGGGGGGTGCCCCGTCTCTGCGCGCCGCGCAGCGGCCAAGCGCCCAACCGGCGGTCCGCCAAGCCGCCTTAGCCACGTTTTTCACGTCGCCACTTGCGTTGGGGCCTTCTTCTTCACGCGGTCTGACACGTGAGATCTTCACAGTCTGTCCGCCGTCAGTAGCTTCAGACGCATTGCGCCGGGGGAGGGGGCCTGTCGCCCGCCCTCGCATCTTAAGGCTGCACCGCCGCTAATAGTGTTTTGCGGGTTGTCGCACCGCAGTGCGCCTCGCGGACGGACCCTGGTCCGCCTACTTGTCCGGTCTCTCTCTCTCTCTCCCCTCCCTCTCGCTCTCCTCTCTCCGGGGGAGGGGGTCCGCGGCACCCAGGGGGGCAGCGGGCCCGGGCGGGGCAGCTGGCCGCCTCCCCCCCTGGGTGCTGGACCGCACCAGCCAGTGCGGGGCAGCAGCGCAAGGATGCGAGGAGACGACGCGGAGGAGAGCGAGACGGAGGGGGGCAGAACGCGAGGCGCGCGCCCACAGCAGGGCGCCCCTGCCCTTCCTCTCCCTCTGCCCATCTCCATCCCCCCCCCTCTTCCTCCTCCTCCTCCTCCTCCTCCTCCTCCTCCTCCTCCCCCTCCTCCTGCTCCTCCTCCTCTCGCCGCCCGCGGCCATGGCGGCTCTGCAGGGGCTGCCTGCAGCGACCCGGTCCACGTCCTTCACGCCACCGCGGGCCGGCCCCGTGTTGAAGCCGGCTCCTCCTGCTCCTTCTCCTCCTCCTCCTCCTCCTCCTCCTCCTCCTCCTCCTCCTCCTCCTCCTCCCACTCCCAGCCCCGTTCCTTCGTCATCCCGTTCTCCCCCTTCGCACGCCTCCCTCCTCCCCCCCCGCGGAAG